CAAAAGAGAAAATTGTGTGGTAAAATGGTTAATTGTGTTTCATGTTTTGGGTAAAAATGTATCAAAATAGTGTAAAAATGATAAAGAAACGTAATTTTTGTTTTGCTTTGTTTGTTTTGTGTTTTGCACTTCTGGGCCACCGTAGATTAGAGTTTATAATAATTATACAAAATGTTTACAAACATTTTCAAATGCTAATAAAAGAATCCCCACTCTCCCTCCTCATTACATTGTTATTTTGCTTTCTAACATAAATGTTTTTGTTTATAGATTAATGCAAGAATGATGAATAAATGTACTGGATATTGGCTAGATAATTTGTCAGAACAACCCACTTGCAAGACAATCTTACCTAAATTCATTAGTATGGATAATAACTTAACAGCAACCAATAATCATATATTATATGGATGAATCAGATCAATGGCACACAATATGTACAAAACTAAACTTGTGATATCTTCTACTCAAACCGATATTCTCCCACAACACAAATTGTTTTTGTGTGGATATGCTGTGTTAAACCGAACAGTGTGGTATATCATATTTAACTGTGCACAGGATTTGAACTGAATTATATACTTCACTCATGACCTTCAAAACATTCTCTACTATTCAGTGGTCTTCGATATATGATTGACTCTTTGCTACAGTAATGCATGTTCCTCGAATAGTTTGTGTATGTTACTCAACAGTTAACGTTGGCAAGTGTAAACAACAAGTGACAGAACTTTTGCTTCATATGATTACAATAAAGTTTTGAAAATTTGAGTATGGATTGAATTCACGAGTGGCAGTTTACTAAACAGCCGGCTGTATAGACACTTCAAATATTGTTTGCATGAAATTTTTATTTCCTTACTGCATAATTATCCGTTACAATATAATCACATTATAAAATTAGCTAAATTTTGTATTATGTTTGACTTTAAAATCTCATTTGCTATTATATTTATTATAATAAGTGATGAAATGTTTAAATTGCCCCATGTCATCTTCATTATTCAGTTCCTTTCAACAAAAATACAAAATGTGAATCAAGTTTTTTCGCAGATACATGTATGCGTCGCGTACCTATTTTTTCTTCTATTGCATAAGCTTGTTGGCGAGCCAAACGATTGGCGACAACAGGTACGTTGGCTATATCCTCGTCTTTCTTGTTTAAATAAAGAGCTCTGACTCAACTGTGATTCTTTAGTCTCGCAAGTTATTTTCTTTGTAGAAACACCCGCTTCTGTTTAATAGTTGTTTACGCTTTATTGATCTGATGCAATTTTTCGCCCTTTGTTTTGAGTGTAGCCATCTATTCTGTGTAGCACCTTATACAGTCAATGTATAATGAATACTCGCGTACGGTCTAAATAATATCGATAGGCACTTAATTGAATGCTGGTAATGCATAACATCAATTATATATTGCGTAGAATCGGCAAAGTTTTCTCAATATTCATGTCTGAAAATTAAATGTTTATATATTTGAAAACAACACTGTCTCGCTCCTTCCTACGTGCTACCCCTGTATAATAAATATACCGTGAAAATAATATCGGCACTCAATTGAATGCCTAGAGGCTGGAATCTCAAAGATTTTCGACTCAATATTTTATACGTCTGAAGTATTTATACACTTGAAAAAAAGTCCTGTCTAGCTCCTTCCTAGCTCTGTATAATGACCGTCTAAATAATATTGGCACTTAGTTAATTGAATGTCCGTAATGCATAACATCAATTTATATATTGCGTAGATTCTATATAAAGATTTACTCAATATTCACGTCTGAAATGTTTATACATTTGAAAACAACACTAGTGTCGCTCCTTCCTAGCATATCGTCACGCCATCGTGATCTGCGGCTTGATAGCGAATGCGCATTTGTGCTGCTAAAGGAAAAATCGGGTGTTCCGGGGTAAATATCCTTTACACAACATGAGAAGCGAATGTTATAAAACTTACAAAAAATTACAATAACGAAAACCATTCCTCGAAATTTTTGTGAACTTGGCAAAACGATAAATGAATATTTAAATAAGACAACTGAAATTGTCTAAATAACCTTCAAAGCACCGACTAAGTACGATAAATCACTACGAACATAAATCGTATACACCCCCCGGAAAGTTTACTGTATGATCACAATGCTGTGAAGTTTCGAAGAAACTTCACACTAAAAAGGGCTTTCAGTCGAGGGAGGATTATTTTTCGGGAAAAGCCAAGCAACTCGATTGAGCACAATCTCGAAACCAGAGCCCGCAATCCTCTGTGGAGGCTTGCCGAGGCTCTGGGAACAGGCGCTCCTTGCGTTATCAACAATATAGTATTGTAATAGTTAAGCTTAACAACCCAATAAGCATTGGGTTGTTAACCCTAACCCCCACCCTAACCCTAACCTCTAACCCCCACCACCCTAACCACTAACCCCTGCCGGGATTTACCCACCCGCGACCCCTCCACCTCCATCCCAAGACAGTTACACTTATAACTAAAACTTTTGTGCAATGCTTGCGGTTTTCTTTCCAGTAACAACCCAATAACTTATTGTGTTGTTAAGCTTAACAATTACAATACTATATTGTTGATAACGTGCGGAACGGGTGCTGGGAAACACCGGCGACTTTTGCACGAAAATCAGTACATTTGGATCCAGTACTCCGCTCGACATTTATAAATAGACATTACTGCCGTCAAACATGAATTATGCCGTTGTTTAAGCTTATTACGACTTTAGTTCTTCAAAGAACACTTGCCATGGTTTTGAATTGTTGTAAGATACTGGTAGTGATTTATTTTAACTTGTTTAATTACGGTAAATCATGGATTGTTGTGTTATTTTAAATTTTATAGGCAACGGCTTATCATGACCTTATATGGTAATGCTGCACTGTTGTTATTCTATATTTTGTTATTGGCATATCAATATCTGAATAGTCTATTGATTTCATATGAGAAGCTAGCGAAGATTAATAAGTTTATTAAAATTATGCTGTGTGTTTCATTGATATGTTTAAACATATTTAAATACACAAAGAGAAATAAACTTTATATTAATTTTAAACGATGTTTGAAATCCAAATAACTAAATACGGCTCAAAGTTTGAATAATAATTAGCACTTGAAAGACTTTGAGGGTCGCCCGAACTTGGGCCTTGGGACGAGGATGTTGAAAAACAACCAATCAGAACCCGACTTTCACCGGTGTTTCCCAGAGCCTCAGGAAGCTTCCACAGAGGATTGCGGGCTCTGGTTTCGAGATTGGATTGAGCGCACCAAATCATGGACATTTTAAAAATTAACAAACAACATTAGTCCCATGTTTTGTTGTGTACTGTTGACTGTCATTATTTCGAGGAACACGCGGGTTTGATTGAATCAATACTGGTAACTGTTCTTCATCAATTTGGTTGTCAAATGCTGTCCTATTGTCATGTCTAGAATTTACTAAGATGGGTAGGCGGTCATCTCTATTGTCTATTGGAGCTCTGGATATTTCAGCTATCTGTGTGATTCTGGGACGCGTCTTTCGTTTTCGTTTTTTACGAGGAGCTTCATTTGGCAACACGGGTCTCCCTTTTGACATACGAAACTGCACAATCAAACCAAGTATTGTTAAGGCGCCCCAAGCACCTGAAAGTATATAATCTAGAAGAAAGAGTTGAGTAATAATATTACAGGTATTTTGCTTCCCCTCAATCTCCCTGCTCCGTCTCCCCACAGTTTCAAGGTTGCGTTCCAATTTTAATTGCTCAAATAGGCCCTTTCAAGGTTAAGGACGCCATCTTGAATCTGTTGTTTTCACCATTGTGTTTGCACCTTACCTACCCCTTGCACTATAGGCAATTCCAGCTTTTAGTTTATGCCTGCAGGGGATGATGGGAAGTAAGGTATCATATTGCCGATTATGCTGAAAAATTTCAATAAAAACTACCGAACCAAAATATTTGAATATTTACAAGTAAAGTCAGGTATAAGCTATCAGTCCGTGTTTACACGACTACCATTTTTATTTTTTCAGCATTATCAGCAATGTGATACCTTACTTCCCATCGTCCCCTGCACGCATAAACTAAAAGCTGGAATGGCCTATTGTGTTTCATTATGGCGTTATTAACCTTGGAAGGGTCTATTCCAAATTAATCATAATCATTTCCTCATAATGAAATCTAAAAATTGGTACACCTATGGCAGTTAGGTTGATGTAAGAATATTGATTATTGATTTAATGTCTAGGTGAATCGCAGCATGATGAAGATGTAACCTGCCAATTCAAACGGATGGGAAAACTAAAAGGTCTGAAACTTGGTAGTCTAAATATCAATAGTCTATTAAAAAATATTGAACATATTCGTTATATTTTATCACAGTATTCCTTTCACATCTTTGCTATTAACGAAACAAAAATTGATTCATCAGTAAATGACTCTGAAATAAGTATACCAGGTTATAAACTAGTTAGAAGAGATAGAAATAGAAATGGAGGTGGTGTTGTAATATATGTTCAAGAACATCTCTCCATTTTGGTTAGAAATGACTTAGTTCCAAATAATCTGGAAATGATCTGTATCGAAATTAATCAACCTTTCAACAGGTCATTTCTAGTTAGTACATGGTATAGACCACCTAATTCAAGTACGGATGTATTTGATGCATACGATATTTTTCTTCTTAATTGTGATGCTGAAAACAAAGAACTAATCCTATTAGGAGATATAAACTGTGATGTTGCTAAATCCCCACCAGAAGCACATACAATTAGATTTCAATCTATAAATTCATTATATAACATGGCTCAGTTAATAGAAGAACCAACCAGGGTTGCGAAAACATCTGCTACTATAATTGACCTTATTCTGACAAATGTTCCTGAAAAAATTTCTCATGCTGGCGTCTTTCACGTTGGTATATCAGATCATAGCCTAATATATGCAGTTCGCAAATTCAAACCACTTAAACGAAGGCCGACTATTAAAAAAGTTCGTAATTTTAAACACTTTTCTGAAACAGAATTTATATCCGACCTAACCAATATTCCTTGGCAAACTGTTTTCACAACAAGTGATCCAAACTTGAGTTGGAATAAGTGGAAGGAACTTTTTATCGGAACACTAGATAAACATGCTCCTGTTAGACATATAAGATCAGGGAAACACACCACTCCGTGGATGACAGCGGAAATAAGGTCAGCTATGAGAAGAAGAGACTACCATAAGAAAAAGGCCATAAAATTGAAATCTGATTCACATTGGCATAATTATAAGAGTCTGCGTAATAAAGTTAATAAACTAATACGTGTGACAAAATCTACTTTCTATATCAACAAAATATCTGAATGTGCAGAAACTATGGATTTAAAAAAATGCTGGTCTACAATAAATTCCCTGCTAGGGAAACAACATAAATCCAATTGTATTAGTGAGCTCAAAGTTGGTGAAAATGTCATCACAGACCCTAATCTCATTGCGGACCATTTTAATACACACTTCATCAACATCGGAGTGTACCCTGATAAAAATGATACGCCAAACGAATGTGGAGAAAATCTTTATTTCTCTGACACAAACATCCATTCCCAAACTAATAATAAATTTAATTTTTCTCTCATTAAGGTTGATAGTGTCCTCTGTAATTTGAAACACCTTAAAGCAAATAAATCCACTGGCCTAGATGCCATCCCAGCGAAAATACTAAAACTAGCTGCCCATATTATTGCCCCTTCCTTAACGTATATTTTTAATTTATCTCTTCAAAGCGGTATTTATGTTAACGATTGGAAACGAGCTCGAGTAATTCCTATCTTCAAATCTGAAGATAAAAGTAATGTGAAAATTATAGACCCATTTCTATTTTGTCAATTGTAAGTAAAGTCTTTGAAAAAGAAGTGTTTAGGCAAGTGTATACGTACGTGAATGAAAGTAATCTTCTCTCAAAGTATCAATCTGGCTTTCGGCCACAACACTCAACCTTATCAGCCCTCATTAAAATATGTGACGAAATCTTAAATAACATGGACGAGGGGAAAATAAACTGTATAGTATTTTTAGACATACGGAAAGCTTTTGATTCAATAAATCACAATATTTTATTAAGTAAAATGAGATCCAACTTTGGCATTAGCGGTAATGAATTACTCTGGTTTGAATCATACCTAACGAATAGGGAACAACAATGCGTAGCTAATGGGATACTATCCTCCGTTGGAAAATTAAAATGTGGGGTCCCCCAGGGGTCGATCCTGGGGCCGTTGTTATTTTTGCTCTACATCAATGACCTACCACAATGTCTCCAAAAAACCACGCCGGGCCTTTATGCTGATGACACGGAAATTTACGCGTCATCACACAATGTAAATGATCTTATTGACAACATAAATTATGACCTAAATATTGTTACGCAATGGATGGAGAATAATAAGCTACAAATTCATCCTAAGAAATCCAAATGTATGTTTATTGCATCCCCTTATAAAATTAAGAATATACCTCAAGGAATACCAATATTAATTAATAATGTTCCTGTCCCAAGATTAAATTGCTACAAATGCCTCCGTGTCACTTTAGACGAAAAATTGAACTGGGAACATCATATTGATATGATTATTAAGAAAGTCAATGCAGGCATTGCAGTAATTAAACGTATGAAAACCTGTGTTCCTCAGGAATTCTTACAAACAGTTTACAACGCCTTAATACAACCCTATTTTGACTACTGCTGTCAATTGTGGGATACCTGTGGAATCGTCCTAAAGGAAAAACTACAAAAATGTCAATCCCGAGCTGCTAGAGTAATAACAGGAGCATCTTATGATATTAG